AGTCATAGCAAGTAGCCCTCATACGAATGCTGACTCTGTGAATTTTCATATACACTAAATGTGTACTTTATATTTTCACAGAATCATAATTGTATTTTACAATTATATGTGTTCAAAATGCAGTAGTTTGATTAAGATTTGTGATGTTCAGTTCTGAGTCTCATTTTTATTTGTTTCTAAGCAATAGAAGCTTTGACTGCTTTATATTCTTTTCAAAAAATTGTTTTCTATTTTTAACTATGTGTATGTGTGCATCTCTGTGTGTGTGGGTATGTGAAGGAGGCTGTAAGCGTCAGTTGCCTCTAGAATTACTGGTAGTTCTGAGCCACCCAGCATGGGTACTGGGAACTGAACTCTGATCCTCTGTAAGAACAATGCATGCTCCTAACCACTAAGCCATCCAGCCCCTATTTTATATCCCAAAGGGATGCCTTTCCTGTGGTACTTGGATCCTAGGGGAGATGCAAATTGTCCACTTATATGTATGTAACTTTGAAATGACTAGTGTTGTATTTGCAGTAAGTATATTTCTTGTTTGCAGTAGGTATATTCCTCATGTAGGGAAAACATTTTTTTCACTTATTGTATATGTGCTATGGAAGCAGTAAAATGCCTAAGTTGGTTCTTACTGTATGTTTAGGGAATGAAGAAATGCTAAGAACGAAAAACAAAAGCAGATGTATCTACTGCCTCAACTTGAAGAGCCAGTGCACAGTACCAACTTCTCATAATATTTGAATAGTTAAAAATATCTGAGTCAATGGCTTTCTGTTGCTTTACATATCTGGGACTGTGAATCTGGCGTTGGTTCTTTCCTGCCTCCCTTGCCCATGTTCTCATCTCCCGCATTTCCTGTCAAAGCTGTTGGGCCTCTAGGTAACCCCATGAGTTCCATGCATCCCGCTGTCTTTTTAGTGTGTGTGTGCCCCCTAGTGAGCAAAAGGGTAACTGCAGGTTCCAATGGCCCCGGAAAGCAGCGTGAGTACCAAAGCAAGTCTTAGGACAGCAGACCAGAAGTTACCATGCACTTTCTCACCTTTGCCCTGATTGTCCCAACTGAGGGGCTTGGGGTGTGTGTGTGTGTGTGTGTGTGTGTGTGTGTGTGTGTGTGTGTACCGCTTTTTGTCAGCTGCTTAACACCTGTGACCTCTTGGAGCCCAGGGGAAAGGTTCCTTTTGGCTCTCAGATTAGGTCAGTTCTTATTAAGTGCTTTCGTGGCATTGATAGCTTAGTAGAAGCTAGTTTGAGTCACACCTTTTATGCTTATCAGTGTGATTATTAGATTTGGTTTAGTTTCTGTTTACTAGACTGACGTCCCCAAGGACACAGAGCCCTGTTCTTGCTCAGTGTTATGCCCCAGCTTGTAGCCTAATTGCTGACACAGAAAGGTATTTCTTTAATCTTCATCGAGGGAGTGAATGGGCATTATGCCCTTCATGAACAGTGAAGAGCCTGGTGTCAGCCAGTTAAATACTCAGCAGAACTGCGCTGGGTGGTTTTAGGTCAGCCTGACACACACTACGCTCACCTGAGGAGGGAACTTCAGTTAAGAGAATGCCTCCATAAGATCAGGCTGCAGGCAAGCCTGTAAAGCAGTTAGTAATTAGTGCTAATCGGGGCCCAACCCATGGTGGGTGGTGCCATCCCTGGGCTGGTGGTCCTGGTTGCTATTAAGACAGCAGGCTGAGCAAGCCATGAGGAACGAGCCAGTAAGCAGCACTCCTTCATGGCCTTTGCATCAGCTCCTGCTTCCTGGTTCCTGTCCTGCTTGAGTTCCTGTCCTGACTTCCTTCAGTGATGGACAGAAATATGGAAGTGTAAGCCAAATAAACCCTTTCCTCCCAAGTTGCTTTGGTCATGGTGTTTCATCACAGCAATAGTAACCCTAACTAAGACAAGAACCTACCTGCTATATATACACAGATGTTCATTTGTTCAGGAGATATCCACTGCATATTCCAAAGGATAAGCCTATATTAAAGAATAAAATCATGGCTTATTTTATTGAGCTAATTAAGTGTTCTAGTTTGATTTCAGTTGCTGTGATAAACCAAAAGCAACTTGAGGAGCCGAGGGTTTATTTCCACTTACAGGTAACAGTCTATCATGGGGGAAGCCAAGGACAGCAGTAGACAACCGGAAGCACAGGAGGGCTGACAGTGAGGGCCAGTGATAGCTGCAGTGTCTTCATTGGACATAGGTCAACAGCCACAAAGAGGAAAATGGTTATTAATTAGTTTGATGTGTTGCTAAAATTCATTATGAATAACTTTTGTAAAGTGCACTCGTTAATAACATCCCTATGGAAACTGATAGAGGCCTGTCTAGGCAGGAAATGTGAAATATACTCAGATTTTCTTTTGAAGCTCGTGTCATTACTCGAGTGTTACACAGATTATATGAGGAGTGAAATACTTGAGAGCTATGATCCCTGCAGGCAGCTCCGGGATTAGAGCATCTTCGTGTAACCAGGATCTGCTGTGCAGTAGACCACGTCACTTCCTTTGTTGTTGCTGTTCCTGTTTTGGATGATGTGTGTGACTTGGACAAACTAGCAAGCATCTCTGGATGTACTTTCAGGTTTATTGTTACACATTTCCATATCACAAGTCACAGGTGCTTATTCTGTGTGTGCTGCCTTTTCGGAGCCTTGGCACCAAGAGTGAGCAGGTGGGCTCAGTTCAGAGGACCCAAGACTGACTTATTCTGTAGTGCACCAAATGGAGATTGCTGTGCGCTGGGGATTAAACATGAAGACAGGAAGTTCCTTCTTTAGGGTGTGTGGCTGAGGCTTCCAGATTCAAAGTTACCGTTCACCACCCAGAAGGATGGTGCATGGTTTTGAGCACCATGACACCAAGTTTCAGCGAATCCAAAGTTATTTTCTGAGGTCATGTCAGAAAAGACATGAGCCAGCTTCAAAGGGTCAAAGGGCAGATGGTTTAAAAATTGTAAAGCTTACATTTGAAACATTTCAGACATGTGTAATAATAAAAAGAACATTTTAGAAGTTCTCAGATAATCCTTCTTATAGCTTCAGCATTGATGAGCTCAAGGCTAGTCACCCTGTACCAGATTATTTTCAAGGAAAAACCCAACACTGTATCTTTTAACCTGTAACTATCTTAAGATATGTGTCTTGAAGATAAGGACTTTTTAAGTCAAAATTCAAAGATGGGATATTTTGAACACCAGTAATGACTGTGGTGGGTTAAAATGTACCAAGTATGTTCAAGCCATGACAATATTAAAAATAACCTTATGTTGTCATCCCTTTAGAGACCTCTGGGGCAGTGGCTCATTACTCTGGAAATAAAGGAGCAGATCAGCAACTTACTCTGCTTTTTGTTGTTGTTGTTGTTGTTGTTGTTTTGTTTTGGTCTACATTGTATGTTGGTATAGTGCTAAATAATAAAATTCTTTATAAAGTGCCAACAAATAGAAAAAGAATACTCCATAAAATAATAATTACACAACCCCTAGTGAGAAATGGGCCTGGCAGTGGTTAGGATAGGTGAATGGACCTCAAGTGAAAACTTGGGGAGGGACTTTGAAATGAGTGGACAAGCCAGCCACACCCAAAGCCATGTCTTAGAGTTATCAGAATTGAACATCACATGCCTACCAGTATACACTATAAGAATGTACATAACCACCATGGCTTATGCTTGCCAGAAACAAATATCAGTTAGCCAGAAATGGAATGTAAGCCGCCACGTCACTGCCAGTTTCCAGGAGATGAGATGGAATAACACGTTCTAAGGCATAGTTGGCCCAAAGTAAAGCGGGGGCAGAGAGTCCTCCACGAGACTAGAGACATGTCAACCACAATCAGAACTGACTTTTGTGATTCTGACCCATGAAATAGGGACTGTGGATATGGCCTGTATGATGGAAAAGATTGAGGAATAATTGTTAACTTGTAGACGTCACAATTGTTAGGTTGTGTTAAAAAGAAATCTTCAAGCTGAAACGGTGGTTCAGCAGGTAAAAGCACTTCGTGCTTTCATGGAGGATCCAGGTTCGGATCCCCAAAACTTCATGGTGGCTCACAACAGTCCATAACTCCAGGTCCCAGGGATCTGACACCCTCTTCTGACATCTGCAGGCACCAGGCATGCAATGGTGCATATACATACAGACAAGCACTCATACACATAAGAGAAACTAAATCATGAAAAACGAATATTTGTTAAAAACACATGGCTAGGGCTGGCAAGACAGCTCAGCAGGTAAAGGCTGCCAAGCCTGGTGGTCTGAGTTCAATTCCGAGAACCTACTTGGTAGAAGGACAGAACCAGCTCCCACAAGGTGTCCTCAGATTTCCACATGTTTACTGTGCCATGCACGTACATACAAACAAATTAACCAATCAACATAAACATTTCATATTTTAGAACATCTAATAAATACATAATACAGTATCTTCAGGTGCAAATGGTAAGCTTTACTGTGAAGATCTTGCTCTTCAGAGTGGGTTCCTCAACTCAGCACTGATGTCACCTAAGTACTTATTACAAATGCAGAATTCGGTCCCAGGCACTCCAGAACCACTGCAGAGCCAGAGCCTACATTCGTGTGGCATTATAATCCACCTGGAGTTTTATATAAACATTTAGAACTGAAAGCACTCTCTAAAACACGTAGGAATTGTGGGGGATGTGGTACGGTAATAAAATTGACAACTCTTGTTAGTTCTTAAAATTATGTGATAGCTACATTGTGGATGTATGACTGATACTGAGTCAGACATGCTGGCATCAGAAACTGTGACTGTCCATGTGTGTATCTAGAAGTGTTGAGTTTTTTCTTTCTTTTAATATTACTTTACCTCTATTTCTCCTTGTTCTAGTTAGTCGGGCTAGTGGATGACATTCAAGAGTTTGGGAAGCATATTTCTTTTATAAATATTTCTTATAAAATCACACTGTCCTTTTGAAATTATTAAGGAGACATATATTAAAACAGTAACTCAATTTATTGTCACTTTCGTTCTCCAGGCAAACTTGAGAAGACCTCATAAGAGCCTCGATGCTACCCTGGATGATGATGACGATGACACTGAGCGAGCGAGCAAGTGAGTCCAGCACGGGGTTGTTCTGTCTAGTGCTGTGGCTCACTGGCAGGAGTTTTGGGGACTACTAAAATTAGGGTTTTGCTCCCTCACAGTGTTCATCAACAAAGCGAAATGGGGCTCCTTGCAGCGCTATGCAGAGTGGGGGTTGGGAGAGGGCCAGGCGAGATAGACTTGAAATGTCTTGTTCTTGGGAAGCAGAGGTGTCCTCAGTAGTGTCCAAGGAGTGGAAATGGTGACCCAGGTGAGCACAAGTTGTCACCCCACACTGAGAGGAGCAGGTGACATGGCGACAGTGGTAACAGTCTTTTTGAAGGAAACTGAGCTGAGGGAGGGCCTAAGGTGAAGGTCCCATCCCAGGAGAGAAATGTGGAACTGTGTTACTTAATACAAAATAGGGAAATTATATAAACTTCAGTGTTTAGCAATTTTAGAATATATAGTAATAAAATGGACATTCTCCACATGAAATAAATCTGTCTATATAAGAGAGTATTTATTTTTCTCCAAGATATAAGAAAAGGAGAACCATATAAAATATGAAAAGTAACCTTGGAATGTTGCAAACTTTCTCGGTGTTCAATCTAATGTTTCTAGTAAATTCCCAAATGCCATAGAATGAGACTGATGAGAAGTCTGGCTTCAGTGAGTCATGACTTTGTATTGATTTGCTCCTAATGCATGTACCCAAGTTTTTTCAGTATTTGAAATAGATACATGCATAGCTGTAGAGAGTTTGTGTGTGAGTCCAGCTCCCACCTTTTGAAGGGTTCTTAGATGGAGGAGAGAGGGATAAGAAAATATCAGAGAGACCTAGATGACGAGAAGAAAGACAGAAACAGGATAGCTTCAGGAGGGCCTGGATCAATACCCAACAGCCTGGAAGTTTATCCAAAAGGGCTTTTTGTAATATGCCAAGGGGAGAGGCAAAAGACCTCCCCTTTGCAAGATCAAAGCAAATGGTATAGTCAAGTGTAGACCCTTCCAAACACCTGCTAACCACGCCCGTGGTCCATCCCCTCACGCAGCCCTGCTGGGTAAAGCAAGCTCAGATTCTCTGACCCTGAGTCAGTTCTCACTAGATAGCCTCTGTGGGCTCCCACAAGGTTGGCCATGGACTAATTATAAATTTTTGTTTCTGTTCTTTGTCCCTCCCTGTCCTCAGACCTCTCTTCCCCTCCCCTCCTCCTTTTTCTTTTCTTCCTTTCCTCTTTTTCTCTTTCCTTCCTCATTTTCTCCTTTCTTTCCCATTTGTCTTTCCTCTACTTCCCCTTTGTCCTTCCCCCACCTCTCCCCTCTCCCCTTTCTTTTCCCATCTTCCTCTGTCGTCTTCCTGCCTCAGCCTGCAGAGTGCTGGGCTTGAGCGCTTCTGACATTGTTGTTCTGAGTTGAAACACTGAATGAAGTCAGCCCCCGCTGTGTGGGTAAATGCTGCTGCTGCACCTTGTGTCTCCCTCCAGGGTGTCTTCTGAAGATGGCGAAGAAACATCTGCGTATTTCTACGAAAGTGACGACTCGGTCGAAGCACCAGTGAAGGCCCCTTACTCAGGGGAGATGGACTTGCTGGGAGAGATCCTGGACACGCTGAGCACACACAGCTCCGACCAAGGCAAGCTGGCAGCTGCGAAGAGCCTGGATTTCTTCAGATCCATGGATGACATTGATTACAAACCTACGGTTAGTTGAGTTTAACTTACAGAGTTCTGTGAAAATACTTGCCCTTGCTGGGGTCGCCTGATCTTAGTTTATAGAAGCATTTAACCTCTCGGTAGGAAGGTACACAAATTTCAAACTATGGTAAAAATGTCATCCTTATGAGTTACTTCTGCTACTAAAATTGCCCCAGTGTTCACCGCCCCTATTCACCGACTGTTGTAGTGGCTGCTGCTAGCTGAAGCCCTTTTCCAGCCATATTCCCTTCTCTGTACTCATCCTTGTGAAGAATTTTTTATGTGAAATATCCCTACTTTAAAAAAAAATTCCAGAGATTTCAAGAAAAACTGTAATGAATATGTCTGTTAAAATCTTTTTTTCTATTTTCTTGCCTCAAAAGTGAACAGTTTTAAATGTAATGAGTTAAGTGCTTTTAAAAACCGTGAGGTAGAAGTACATGAGTGGACCCCATCTGACTGCAGAGAACCCAAAGGTTTGTGTTAATTGTGTGCACAGCTTGAATGTGACAGGTGACAGTTTAAACACATAGAAACCAGAGTTTCTCATGTCCTTACCCACTCCCCTCCATGCCTGCTCATGGAACTGGCAAGAATTGTCAGATTTCAACCAGTGCGCCCCCTCTGGACAGTGCTCACCTTTCTGGCTGAAACATAGGAGAAATCAAGTTACTGAAAAACCACTGTAATTTATTAACAGTATTCTGAAGTTGTTATTTCCCTTTGCAGAACAAGTCCAACACTCCCAGTGAGAATAACCTGGCCCTACTGTGTGCTTCTGGTGATCAAGGAGAGTGGAATCTCGGGCAGGACGACAGTGCCCTCCATGGCAAGCATCTCCCTCCATCCCCCAGGAAGAGAGTGTCCTCTAGTGGGTTGACAGACTCTCTGTTTATCCTGAAAGAGGAGAACAGTGAAAAACCCCCCTGTGCTGACAGGATGAGTGGCCCCACTGTGGGGGACAAGCCAGTTTCTACTTCAGGATTGGGTTTCCAGCCAGCTTCCCTCGAGGCTGCTTCTCAGATAGGTGAAGGAGAAGCAGAGGTGGAGGAGACACGAAGCCGGGCTTCAGAGCATCTGCTGGTACCCAGCCTCAGCAGCCGCCAGTCTACTTTTGTTCCCTGGGAGAAGGCAGGGAAAGAGCATAAGGAGCCTTCAGAAGATGGTGGACTGCTCCAAGAAGTAGTGTCGTTGTGCCACATGTCATGTGACTTCCAACAAGGTTCCAACATTTCAGAAGAAAAGAGAAGTGAAAACCAAACTTAAGTAAAGGGTCAGTCGCTTGCCTCTTGGCTTCTCCAGAGACATGTGGAATCAATTCCCTGTGATGCATTCAGTAAACAGAATCACGCATAGGAATGAAAACTCTTACTACTGTTTAATGTTTTCCTTTGGAATGTTTCCCCATCTGTTCATCTCATGGAGCTGTGCTATCCATTGATTTTCTGGCATAAAATGAATTCTACTGTGCTGTTAAATCAGGTACTAATTTGTATATAGGCTGAAAGTGTGTTTGGAACATAAGCTCTCCCAGTATTTGGTGCTTAATGCCGTTCATTTTATTTAAACTAAGTGTGCATATGTAACTCCTACATAGAACCAGTAGTTACTGTACTAATCTGGTCGAGCATGAACTGATGTCAAACCTGATATAAAAAAAAAAAGAAAGAAAAAAAAAGAAATAGCCTGAAACTGATGAAACAGTTAACCCACTAATTGCCTTAATCTTCCAGTTATGTTAAACATACAGATCATGTGCGATGCTACGTGCAAATCTTGAAAGAGGAGTTATCTTGTCTTTCAGAGCAATAATGCCTTTTTCTATCACAGAATTAAGCTCATCATTTTTTCAAGTTTAAATGCTCTGTAGTGGAACTAATTTGCTTTCATAAAGACACTGCAGCCATGTTTTCCAAACAGTATAAATGTGTATATTGACCTTTCACTCAGTGAAATCCATGAAGTGCTGAAATACAATGTGAAGTTAAAAGCTTCTGTTTACAAAGAAGCCACTCAGACAATGTTTGGTCTCTGTACGCCATGGTGACTGGGGTCCACCTCGAGAAAGCCAGATGCCCTGCAGAGTCCAGAGAAGCAACTGTCCTGTTCTTCTCGTAACTGATTCGCCATGAAGATGCTCATAGCCTTACCTTGTGTTTGCTTTTTTAAAATAATTGACTTTGTGTTTTAAATGTTCTAGATTTATAGAAAAATGCAAAGATGGTACTAAGTTCCCATCTCCCTGGGCCCTGTTTCTGCTGTTGTTAGTGTCTTCTGTTAGTGTGCTGCATTTGCCAGTGTTGATATTGGACATGGTGTTCAGAGCTCTGGCTTGTCCTTCATGTCCCCTTTCTGCCCCGTTGTCCCCTCAGAGTCCTAGATTACATTCTGTTATCATGTCTGCTGGGTTCCTCTGCCCCTTGGCACTTCACTTTCTTGGCTTTGATGACCTTGGAAGTTTCAGGAATATTGGTCAGATGTATTGCCCCCTGGCCAGCTCCTGGAATTTGTCTGCTATTTTTCTCATTGTTACACTGGGATTGTACATTTGAAGGAGAAGATCGTAGAAGTAAAGCGCCATTTTCACAGTGTCTTAAAGTGTGTGGGGGCAAGCACATTCCACTTAGTGTTGACTTTGGACACCTGCTGGGTTTCTCCACTGTAAGCTCTTTCCTCCACACCTTCTGTTCTGTTGCAAGCAGACAGACAGGCAGGCAGGCAGGAGGAGGAAGGGAGGGAGGGAGGGAGGGAGGGAGGAAGGAAGGAAGGAAGGAAGGAAGGAAGGAAGGAAGGAAGGAAGGAAGGGCAGGCACATGAGAATTATTTTGGGCAGTGGAGTATCAGAATAAATCCTTTGTAATTCGTTATGGAACCTGCCTCCCTCACAGTTCCTGTTCAGCTTTTGAGCACATCTGAAAACATACGCAGATCACTCATGGCAGACTGGTGGTGTGGGGTGGTTTATTTGTTCCCTCCCGGCCTCTGTTTTATACAACGTGGTGACTGCTTTTCAAAAACTGTCTTTTTTAGAAAGAAAAAAAAATGGTTTCAAGACCACTTAACCTCAACAAGGCCATACTCTAAAGTGTTTACTTAAAGAATATAATTTCACCTAAAATTTTAGGAGACTTGTTTAACATAGTGCTTAAAATATTTATGCAGGTAATTTTTTTAAGACTGCATTCCAAAATATAAATAGGTAGTTTTACTTGAGGTAACTATTCACTCATTTGTAGTGGAAGATGGAACTTGTCCTTATAAGGATGGGCTCTTCATAGAAAGGTATGTGTAATCCTCAGTTTTTTATACAATAATATGATTCAAGGTTGTCAGATTTTGCCTGTATATGTCCTTCATTAATCCCGGTTTACTGAAATAATTGAGGAAAGCTGCATATCAGAAGAGCTGTTCTTAATGGGAAGAGGAGAATTTCCATGGTGATTCCGCTCCTGGGCAGTCATTCCTACATAATTCCTAAACAGAATGCAGAGCCTGCAATATGAATTTTGAAGTGAGATCACTTTTTTCACTTCAGAATTTATTGTCTAAGGAGTGACAGCATCCTGAGTGAAGCATAGAGAGCTGGCTTCCAGTCCATGTCCTTGTCAAACCCGTGGCCACAGATTCCTAATTCTCTACCACGAGTCACCTTGTGAGATGCTCCACTGTAGCACTAGGCTACTTGAAAACATTTGGCCATCACAAATACTGTCTTAGGACACTTTAAAGTGATCTGTGCCTTACTGTATCAAGCAAAACAATGACTTTATGTAAAAAAGAAAAACCAAAATTGTACACATTATTGTGAGAACTGTCCAGAAACCTGGAAGCAAGTGTTGGTGCTTCACACCACTAAAACCTTGAGTGTTCTAAATCAGCTTGTAAACACAGCTTCCCGGTGTTGTGGTGGGTACATTAAGAAGTAAGGGACAATGGACTGAGTTCTGAACTTTTTAAAAAAGTGGTATTTTTGCTTTACCCCAAACCAAACCAAACAGGTCTAAGTTCTCTGCTGTTCAAAGTCAACTTTTCTGCTTGCTCTGTCATTTTAACTACTGAGCACCAACTGGAGCTCCCAAATACACTTTTCAATGAAGCCGCTTCTCGTCTACAAGAGACTTGATTAACACATTGCTCTGGCTTCAGCATCTTGTGTTTCATATGCCTCTAAGCCAAGCCACGACTTGTCTTGAGTTTCACTTAAGCTTTGCACCCATGGCAGTTCAGGGGACTAAAGACAGAAGGATGAATTTGGGAGCTGCAGTTTCGTTAAAGTAAAGATATTGCTAAGTGGCATATATTGGTGATTACCTAATGCAGCCTGTCTTATACATCAGATTATGGCATGATTATTTTTCCAGTTCAAAATTAATAACTCCTTCAATGACAAAGTATTTATTGACTTTTTGTTCCAGTCAGGAAAAAGGTATAATATTATCTAAGGATATAAGGGTATGGGGGAAACAATTACCCAGCCCTGGGGAATCAATTAAAAGGGAAAGGAACTGCAGATGTTAATAATATTAATAATAATAATAATAGAGTTAGATTGTACTTGCTTAGATGGTACTAGCTCAAGAGCCAACTGCAAGGATGCTCTTAGGAACCGCTCTGTTATTTAAAGTATGTTCTGAGTACAGAATCATTAACTTTTCTGGTAATTATGTGAGTTATTAGAATGCTGCTAAGATCTCACTTTTAAAGGACAGATTTGGAGACACTGCAAGGCTAAGTCCTTGCATTGACCATCCACATAACATGATATCCCTTTGCAGTATGGATAGCCACTTCCCCAGTTCAGGAATAACTTAGGGTATTTTAGACTGGGGTGCAGTCATGTTGATGGAAGTTCAATTTTTACATTAAAAAAGGAAATCTTGGTAACAGCATTTTCACGAAACAGCGAAACAGCCCTGTTCTTTTTAGTTGAAGCCATGAGTGACAGTGTTGTTGTTGGTATCCTACACTGATATCTAATGGTGTGACCCAGGAATGCCCATGAAGTAGTTGTTTGTTAAGCAAAGTGAAGACTTTTGGTCAGCAGCAGATGACCATGAACATTCTTAAAATCAACAGCTGTTCATCCTCCACTCAGATTTCCAGGACAAATTCATCACTTTCATGAGTAAATTTTCTCATGAGAACTCCACAGTTTGGTGTCAGGGATTCATAGATCTGAGACGATATTTGAAAATCAGAATAAAAATTCAGGAATGTAAAAATGAATGGCTAAATGTAGTCTCTCTTCAAGCATCTTGTAATGTAGGTAGTCCGTTGTAGAAACCCAGTTCTCTCTGAGCATTTCCCCAAGTCCAGCCCAGGGTCCTGTCACTGTCTGTTTCTTAAAGCTTCAAGCACTAGAAAGGCTTTGCAGCAGCCAGTTGATGTTAGGATCTAATTAAGAAATAGGGAATTATGTATATTGAGACAGAACATTTTATTTTGAAATATATGATTTTGTGCAATATTTTTCTTGCAGAATTTAGTTCATATAAATATGCACATCTGCTTTTCTTGCAGATGCCTTAAGGTCATGTCTTTCAGTATTTGCCTAAACTGTATGTAGCAATGTTCTATGTGATTTCAGAAAAACATTACTCTTTCTATTGTTAGCAGAAGTGTTTTTGTTTATTTAAAATAATTGTGGAGATTGCATTATTGTATCATAACTTCCTCAGCCACAATAAATATGCAATAAGAAAATCATGTACCTTTGATTAGTATTGACAATACTGTTACTTTCACAGAAACGCTGTGGTACAAAGTGCTGATTCTCCGTGTATACAGTTAACAGCTACTCTGCTTTGCACCACATGAATCTGAACGGTATATTTATGTGATAACCATGTGTGTAGATTCTGACATCCTTTTTGATGGGTCTTTGTTGAGGCTTATAAAGGGCATTGCCAATACTTTTTGACTGTAAATTAATTTTTTGTATGATGTACAGTTTGGTTAGCCTGAGAGCTTCTATAGATTTCTACTTTTATTATACTTGAATGAGGCAGAAAGCACTGTGGGAAATTTGTAACTCTGGATGCAATATGCAGATATACCAAAAATAAAACAAGGTACTGAGCAGCAATGCTAATGGAATGCTTTATAATCCAGGGGTCAGTGTTTTTCAAGACACATTTTAGTTAAATGAAGTAATTGAAGATGTGCAGTCTTTTATCTAGACAGTATAGTCACAAATGATTACCTCTTTGATATGTCAAAGCTGTAAATTCTTTTTAACTTCTGTTTCAGTCCTTAGATGAGGACCACCCATGGTCCCACCTCTGATTACATGATGTTTAGGACAGAATAAATCAACTACATTGTGCGTATTGGGTGCATTACCTGTGTTAAATTACTATGTTTTAGATAGAGTAGCTTTCATAGGTAATATTCAGAACTCTTTAATAATCATATACCAAAAATTAAAAACTTAAAATCAGGTATAACTTAGCTGTGCCTAAAATAACAACAATTACATGAACAGAATTGAATGTTTCCAAAGTTTGTGTCCATTGTTTTAGCTGAAGAGTTGTTGGCTCAACATGTAACCAGTATTTTAAAAAAGGAAAAAAAGAAAAACCCCACTGAGCATTGAGGTGAGCTTTGTTGTTCTTTTGCCTTTGAGGCTACAGTATGTCATCTCTAAACTTGACTACTATTGGGAAGATGCTCTGTATAAAAGTATTGCTTTGCGAATTTTTTTTAAATATGCAAAATTAAATGTTGAATGAACTCTGCATTGCCATACAATACCCAACAATGTAGTTGAAAATAAAATTGGTCGCAGTTGAACATTGTGTGGCAGTGATGACTCTTCTGACTTGCTAGTTGTCCTCTATACTGTTACAGGAGAATGGTTTTGAGGACCCACTGGTCTCCATCTTCAATCCTTAACTGCTGCAGTGTAAACGAGAGCCTCGTTCATTCTGATGGCCATGTGCGAGCAGTACCTGTTCTATTATGAGCTGTTTATTAGCCTTCTTGTTGCTGTGGCAAAGTGGCTGACATAATGACTTGAAAGGATGAAATGGCAGGTTTATTTTAGCTCATGGGTTCAGGGATTTCAGTTTGTAGTCCTCTGCTTTGTCGAATCTTGATCTGTGATAAGGCAGAGTGCCATAATGGTGGGAGCAAATGATGGGGGCTCTTCACCCCAGGCCAAAGTCACAGCATAGTAGTGGCAGAAAAGGACCAATGTAAGATATAACCCCAAGATGCACCCCAGTGACCTATTTCCTTCCAAAACTCTCCACTTTGCAGCTTCTGTCTCCCAATAATCTATTCAAAATTTGAATTCAAGGGATTAAATCAGAGTTGTTATGACAGCTCTGTGGTTTGTGTTATGTTTGTGGAAATGCTCTCACAGGCACACCTTAGACGCCTTGCAGAGCTGGGCATTTCTCACCAGGTTAGCCATCAGGAAGACCCTCACAGGCTTTAAAGCCCCCCAAGCCACCAGGTCCTCAGAGAAAGGGCACCTAAATTTTCTTGATCTAGGACAGAGGTGAAATAGAAATGCTTATGAGCAGAGCTCCAGGAACCAGAAGATGAATTTCTCATCTGAGAGCTCTAATGGGTCTACCAACAGAGCAGAGGTGAAATTTGTGTGAATATAAGCACGTTTGTTTCCCTTTGGGCTCAGAATTTCCAGGAACTATATGTAGAACTTCTCTTGTTTCAACATAGAAAGCAAAGTTCTGAGAGGAAGAGGACTTTGCTTGCAAACCTGAAGTTC